GAATCCTAAAATGTGAACGGTGATAGTGAGGATAACATTTCCACTAACCAATGGTGAGGATAACAATAATATGTATATTGTACATAATTTGTATAGATAATGCCAAACCAAAGAAAAATATGTGTTTGTCCTTATGACCCAAACAAAAGGCGCTTGAATCTATCCCCTTAAAAGTCTATAAAATGGACTTGTGGCATGATCACTCATGATAAATTTGATATAATGTATCTTTTATGATAATATAAATTAGATGAGATGTTTAAAAAATAATTTATAGTCAAATTTTTTATATAGATATTGAGAGGGTAATTTGTGTAGCCAAATTGGGCCGAGCTAGGTTGGAGTGGAGGTCAAAGATGTTTGACCGAACTAATAAATGCCCATATTTCTGGACCTAGCTACAGGACCTAGCTATAGGACCTAGCTACGGGGCCTAGCTACGAGACCTACCTACGGGACCAGGCTATTTCCTAGTGGCGATCAAAGATGTTTGATTGAACTAGTAAATGCCCATATTTCTTGACCTAGCTACTTCCTAGTGGCGGTCAATGCTATAGCCGAGCTACCAAGCAAGGTAGTCAAACAGAGAGGAGAACTGAGCTGGGAGGAGAGCCATGCAATGTTAGCTTTCACACTGTGTGTTGCACGGCTAAGTCATTGTCGAACAGAGCAAATGTAGTCAGGTTGCACGGTAGAAAGCGGAGCAAAGACTTGTGCCATCTCACTTGGCTTGCAGTGAAGAGGGTGTTAAAGGATAACGATTATCTTTTGGAAATGTGATTCTTACGAGGACTCTAAATTGGAGAGTTAGAGTCCTATTAGGATTGTGCCATGCGGAATCTACAAAAGCTCTAACCAAACCTTAATCTCAGGTATTGCAATTCTGACTCTCCAATACACAGATCTTTTTGTCTATTGTCTACTTGCTGACTTAGGCATCAAAGGGGTTTCTAGCATACACTAGCTGGCTAGCTCATGTTTGTGTTTTTAGGTGATAAGATGAAGACATTTGGAGGAGTGCAAACTTGATCAACAGGATTATACGAGACAGATTATTTCTTGCTTGTATAGATACACACACACACACACACACACACATATATATATATATATATAAGAAATAACTAACAAGAAAAAAAATTGATAGGATCGAGATCATAATAGATTCAAGATCCTAGTGTAATTCTATATGATTTTATAACTATAATCGTAATAATTATAAGATTCTATAATATTTAAAATCTTAGTATGATTTGAATCATTTGATCTAACTAATTCTACTAGCAAAATTGGAATTCTAATAACCATACTGTAGATATCGGTGAAGACTAGCTAGTCAAAGTCATTTAGTATCATAATTGAAACTTGGATAAGACATTAGTGAAGACTAGCTAGTCAAAGTCACTTGTCGGCCTGCATTGTATCAATCGTAGAATTTTAAAATCCTACTAGTAAAATTAGAATTTTGATAGCCATACTGTATATGCCGGTGAAAACTAGCTGGTCAAAATCATTTAGTATCATAATTGAAATTTTGATAATCATGATGTAGGCATCAATGAAGACTAGTCAGTCAAAGTCACTTGTCGGTTTGCATTGCATCAATCATAGAATTTTAAAATCCTACTAGTAAAATTGGAATTCTAATAACTATATTGTATATATCGGTGAAAACTAGCTAGTCCAAGTCATTTAGTATCATAATTGAAATTTTGATAATCATGATGTAGACATTAGTGAAGACTAGTTAGTCAAAGTCATTTGTCGGTTTGCATTGTATCAATCGTAAAATTTAAAAAATCCTACTAGTAAAATTGGAATTCTAATAACCATACTATATATATCGGTGAAAACTAGCTAGTCAAAGTCATTTAGTATCATAATTGGAATTTTGATAATCATGATGTAGACATCAGTGAAGACTAGCTAGTCAAAGTCACTCGTTGGTTTTGCATTGCATCAATATTTTGGTGGAAAATCATGTGTGTACTATTTTAGGGGTGTATACCATATGTATTTTATCATAAAAATATATAATTTTATTATAAAATTTCGTAATATCAATTACAAAATGTATAATCTCATCATAAATTAACATAATAAAATGTTCAAAATTTTGTGATTCATATTGGAATAGTTTATGGCTTGGTTACGATATTTTTTGTTACGTTAATTTGTGACGAGAATATATATTTTATAATTAAAGTTACAAAATTTTAAAATAAAATTATATATTTTATAGTAGGGTGCATATGGTATACACCTCTAAAGAAGTGCACACCATAGCATTTTCCATATTGGGTATAAGGCATTCTGCTTTCTCCATTATTCACATTATGGGTTGTCAAATGCTTTATGAAAAATAAAAATAAAAAAAATTAGATAATTATATCCAAATAATTTTATCATATTTGTTTTAAGAAAATAAATGTTAATGACAATTATTTTTGAAAATAAATATCATAAAGTCATGTGGTCAATTATCAAATTAATTTAATTTTTTAAATTAATACGTACAAAATAAATAATGCAAATCACCAAAATTTGACCCGTTAAAATCTCACATATGCAGGACTAGAGAGGATTTTTTTCGCTCGAGCTTGTCTTTTACCAGTCATCGCTCACTTAATGCATGCTATATACAGTATACGTATTATTGTTACATATTTTTGTTATGTATGTTATATATTTTTATGGTCATGTTATGTAATTTTTTAACAGAGCTACTACAATTTGTAGTTTAGAAATAATATTATGAATTTCGTGATAATATTACGTATTTGTTTGCTAAAAAACATGTAGCATTACCAGTAACATTACCATAAAATACATAACTTCATTTTTGAATCACAAAGTATCGTAACTCTACTAAAAAATTACATTATATTTACTACAAAAATTAAGTAACAAACACCACAAAAATGTGTAACAAGATGCATATGGGTGTGTACTATAGAATTTCCCTTGGGGTTATTCTACATCACAAATGTCATAACAAAATAATTTTAAGTCATAATTAAAAATAATAATAGGTCATAACCAAACACTACTTGAGGTATAATCTTCGATTGTAACCAAAATAATAACCATAATAAGTCATAACTAACATCACAATGAGTTATAACCAATGATTATAATCAAAATCACTTGAGGCATAACAAAAAAAGAAAAAAAAACTCTTTAGTAATAACCAAAAAAAGAAAAAAAGAGACTAACACCACAATAAGTTATAACTACGTTATAACCAACACCACAACAGATCAAAATAAAAAATCACAAAAGTTATAACTAGACATGAGTTACATACCCAAAAATGAGTGTGTATTATAGAATTTTCTAGGCCTTGGTGTATGTCTTTTTAAGGATGAGGTTGTCATAAAAAAGTCTCATATTTTTTCCATTTCTTTTTGTCTTTAACAACTTTTGGGTGAATTATACTAACAGTCCCTACAGTTTGGAGTTTGTATTATTTTGGTCCTTGACTTTTCAATTGTAATACATTTGATCCTAAATTTTAAATCTCATTTAAATAAAGATAATTGAAGACATCATTCCAAATCAGGACAATTGAAGACATTGTTGCTCAATTTGAAGGATAAAGTAGTCATACAACTTATTTTGTATTACTTAACTTATATGTTGTTTGAAATATAATCACTTTGCTTGGTTTGGGTTTTCTAAAAAGACTTTTCAAAAAATTTTACTTTCTTGTTTTCCGTATTTTTTTGTTTTTACTGATTTTTTTTTAATTTTTAGACACACCTAATATAAATACACTTAAAAATGTAATTTTTGTGAAAAAAATCTTTAAAAAATTCACTAAATACCAAAAATACAAAAACAAAGATGAAAATTCTATATAGCTTTCATATTTTTGTGTATTTATTAATTTTTTAAAATTATTTTTCACAAATATTTTACGTTTTAGACACATCTAAGTAAGGTGCATCTAAAAGAGTAAAAAAATGCTTAAAATTTTTAAAATATTCACTAAAAAAAAAAAAACATGATAAACAAAAAAACTCAATTTTCAAAAAATTGAATTCTGAAAACTGTAACCAAACACATTGATTGGCATTTTTTGAATGAATAATGTTCCAACTTTTTTGGTTATAAAGTTCTGTTTAGTTTGGTTTTCAAAATCTATTTTTAGAAAATTTTTCTAAGAAACTAAAAATTAAATTGTTGAAAAAGTTTAAAAACACATCATTTTTATATAATTTTATCTTTTGGGAGAGTAGAAATAATTTTTTAAAATAATTTTTTTGATATTTATTTTCATTAAATTTGTTTTATTTTTTAAAAAATCAAATATAGCAACAACTTTGATGTCATTATTAAACCAACCCATTAAATAAAAAAATTCAAAATTAAAAATATTTCATATATTAAACATATCGATTATACATTAAAAATCTAATAACCTTCCATTACATGATAACATCCAAAAATATCTGTTAACAACAAATGCAACTATCTATTACATGATAACCGTCGAAAAATATTAACAAAAATAACCACGTATTATATGATCATCATCCAAACACATACTAAAAATTAATTTGGTAAAAAAATAAAAATGTAAAAGATTTATTAATTTTATATAATTTTATCTTTGGTGAGTAGAAATAATTTTTAAAAATTTAAAAATAAATTTTGACATTTATTTTTGTCAAACTGATTTATGTTGTGATGTATTGTCTTTTAAAGTATATACACCGTAGATGTGTCAAACTTTATTTCGTATAACATTTTAAGCGGTTGATTATGATCAACATTTATGAAGTACTCAAGTCTTCCTTGATGAGTGAAAAACACGTTATGGCCTATAAAGCATCAATGAAAGAGAACTTAATCTACGGTGATTATTTTAGAGAACTTCAAAGTTTATCTAATCAAAGAAGCATTATGTGGTGAACCTCAACCTAGAATCCCTACATAGTGAATCTTTGTATCCTTCAAATTTTCGTTACACGTTATGGCCAACTCTATAGACATCAATGAAAGACTGACTAGTCAAAGTCACTTTACTTGTTTGTAGGCTTTGCATTGCACCTACATTTGCCTATAAAGCATTTGGCCTCTCCCCTGTTAATAGTCAGCAAACATTACAACCTTTGTTTTTGAATCTAGGAGCAAAGATGGTCTCTAACAATCAACTCATTCACCTTTTTTTGTTTCTTTGTTTTTTCCAGATTACTTGTTTGCATGCCCACCAACTGTGCACTCAAGAACAGAGCTCTGCATTGCTCCAATTTAAGCAACAATTTTCCTTCAATAAATCTGCTTCCTACGATTTCTGTGATTATTTCGGAATCCATTCTTACCCAAAGATGGAGTCGTGGAAGGAGGGTTCTGATTGTTGCTCATGGGATGGGGTCGAGTGTGACAACAACACAAGTCAAGTAATTGGCCTCGACCTCAGTTGCAGCTGGCTCAACGGCACCATCCACCCCAATAGCACCATCTTCTACAACTTTCCTCACCTCCAAAGCCTCAACCTTGCTTTCAATGACTTTGGTATGTCTCGAATCTCATCTGAATTTAGTCGATTCACCAGATTGACACACCTCAACCTGTCTGCCTCTTTTTTTCTCTGCAAAGTCCCTATAGAAGTCTCCTTTCTGGACAAATTGGTCTCGCTTGATCTCTCTTCCAATTATGGTTTGAGGTTGGAAGAACCTGGATTTGAATTACTTGTTCAAAACTTGACCAATGTAAGAGAACTTAATCTTGTAAGTGTAAACATATCTTCAGTGGTCTCGAATTCCTTGCTCAATCTCACTTCTTTAACACATCTCGATCTTAGTATGTGTGGATTGCTTGGAAAATTTCCTGACGGAATATTCCATTTACCACATCTGAATGAGCTGATTATATGGGATAATCCTGCTCTCACTGGTTATTTTCCAGAGTTTATAAACTCGAGCAGTCCTCTCCAGTACTTTTTTCTTTCATTCACTAATTTCTCTGGAGAACTACCCGACTCAATTGGGAATTTGAAGTCCTTGAAAACGTTGGTTGCCTTTGATTGTAAATTTTATGGATCCATCCCTACGTCGCTCGGAAACCTTACGGAAATGACTGATTTAGTCATCGGACATAACAATTTCACTGGCATGCTCCCATCTTCACTTTCAAACCTTGGAAATCTCGTCTACTTGGGAGTTCAAGGTAATAATTTTGAAGGCAAAATCGCAGATTTTTTACCTAATGTAAAAAGTCTTCTTTGTTTATCTGCTGATTCAAATAGCTTCAGCGGTCCATTTCCATCATTGGGTGCAAACCTAACAAAACTTTTTCAGTTAGGTTTGTCGAATAATCAGCTAAGAGGACCTCTTCCATCACAAATAATTGGACTTCCAAATCTAGCGCTGTTAAGTTTAGATGATAACTTAATCAATGGTACAATTCCATCTTGGGTCTTCAGCTTACCAGCATTGGATTACTTCAACCTAAGTCATAACAAATTGACTGGCCATGTAAAAGAGTTCAAATCCACTCATTTAACTATTGTTGATTTGAGCAATAACAACCTACATGGTAGGTTTCCAAGTTCAACCTTCAAACTCATGAACCTTAATAGTCTCATTCTTTCATCAAATAACTTCAGTGGTGAGCTAGACATGCTCTGTCATGCAATTTCCCTTCAAATTCTTGTCATATCTAGTAATAGCTTTAATGGTTCTATTCCACAATGTTTAGGAAATTTCAGCATATATTTCTCTGTACTCGATTTGCGGAAGAATAATTTTTCTGGCACTATTCCTGATACATTTGCGAAGGAAAATTCCTTTGAAACTATCAACCTTGATAGCAATGGATTTGAGGGGCCAGTACCAAAATCTTTAGAGAATTGCAAAATGCTACAAGTGCTAGACCTTGGACATAACAAGTTCTCCGATAAATTTCCATGTTGGTTGGAAAATTTAACTTCGCTACAAGTTCTAATTTTGAGATCTAACAAATTCCATGGACCTATACCGAATTCCAAGTTCAAATTTCCCTTCCCCAACTTGCGAGTTATGGATTTATCAAGCAATTATTTTACTGGTCCATTGCCAAGAAAATATTTCAAGAATCTCAATGCTATGATGAATGTCAACGAAGCTAGTTTTGAATTGCAATACTTAGGGATGCCTATTAATTCAACTTCAGCATATTACTATAATGATTGTTTGACTATAGTAATCAAGGGATCAACAATAGAAATGGTAAAAGTCCTAACCATTTTCACTGCAATTGATTTATCGAAAAACAATTTTGAAGGTCATATTCCACTTATTATTGGAAGGTTAAATTCAATCCGAGGGCTCAACTTGTCTCACAATAGCCTTACTGGTCATATACCAGCATCTCTTGCTAATTTGATGATGCTCGAATGGTTAGACCTCTCTTCCAACAAACTCACTGGGGAGATCCCTCAACAACTAAGTAATTTGAAATTCCTTGAAGTCTTAAACCTTTCGCGGAATCAACTAATAGGACCGATACCACAAGGCAACCAATTTGATACATTTTTAAATGGTTCATACATTGACAACTTGGCATTATGTGGACCTCCATTGTTAAATGCATGCAATCCAAGGACACCACAACCACCACCCTTGATGTTTCAACAAGAAGACAATACTTCAAGTGGACTCAATTGGGAAGTCATATTACCAGGTTATATATGTGGGCTCGTGTGGGGACTTGTTATGGGATATTTTATGTTCTCTAGAGGAAAACCTCAATGGCTTGTGAGGATCATTGAAGGTGAACGAAAGAAAAGCGGAAAGAGATTTAAAAAGCATTCTCACAGGAATAGAGCAAGGTGAAATTAACCAATGCAAGTGGTGTCCTTTGGTAAGTATTTACAATCAATTCCTGCATTCTTTTGCTTGATCATGAAAAACTATAGCTTGGTTATGGTTGCTATCTAGTCTTTTTTCAGTTTCTTAGCACTTTATTTGTATCATACAAAATAAAGTTATTTTATTTCTTTTGATGTTTATACAAAGCACTTGATTGGAAATCATCTTGCGAAAAATTAAAAAAAAAAAAAAAATTCATGGAAGTAATAAATGAGTAGTGAAAATAAAGGTTTGCTATTGATTCTAATGGCTGCAATTGAAAGAGGTATAAGACTTGGGCACTTTTTTAGTAGTCTTTTTTTATTTTTTTTTTTTTTTGAAATTTACTTTATAGTCACTTTTTCTACTTCATTCTTAAATTATTAATTGCATATATTTAGTCTATACTGTTTATTATTTTAGTTCATATGGTCTGATTATTGGAGACAATTTGTCCAAATCATTAATGAGAAAAATCTAATCTAATGGTTGAAAAAATAATTTTACAATTTAGACAACTTAAATTGTATAACTATTTTCTTACTAACACAATATTAGACAGCTTACCCTCTACAACCAAACACCCATATTTCTCTCTACTTCAAATAATGAATAAAAGAATGAGAGCTTGGCTAGGTAAATTTACACCGACCTCTCCTAATTACAGTGGGTGTTATACTTTGCTTATTTGCATCAGTATTCGTTAGTTATATAGATAAAAAAATTATATTTACCTTATTTGGTTTAATTTATTTTTCAGAAACTTGAGTTTTTTTCTCTTTCTTTTTAGTTATTTTTTTACCTTTTTAGTGATTTTTTTAATATTTTTTGAAATATTTTATTTCTTCTATACACCTAATCTATATACACTTAAAAACAGTAATATTTGTGAAAACAAAAACTTTAAAAATTCACCAAATAATTTTTTAAAAATACGAAAATTTGTTGTATTTAACAATTTTTTTTTTTAAATTGTCATATTTTGTTATACCCTAAACTATAGTCACATTTTTTACTTCATTCCTAAATTAATAGATGCATCTATTTGGTCCCCATTGCTTCTTATTTCAGTTCATATAGTCTAATTGAAGACAATCTCTGCAAATCAGTAATAGTGAAAATTTAATCTAATGCGTAAAAATAGTAATTTAAGAATTTAGAGAATTTAAATCGTACAATTAAACCCCTATTTTCTTATTCACACTATATTAAACAATATTAGACAGCTCACACTCTACAACCAATCGCCTATATTCCCTTCTACCCCTCTTCTCAAATAATGAATAAAACAAATATGTGTTGGGTTGTACAGTTTAAAGTAAATTATATAGACCTCTCTTAAAATTTGAAGAAAAGAAGCCCTCTTCATGTTTTTGCTTTTTATTATTAATATAGGAAGGCGTTCTATTTAATTTACTGTTGAAATACAAGTGTGATTATTGGTTCGTCAGATACATTATAAATCTCATTGATTTGAATCATATAATTTGTATGATTTTATTTTATTTTATTTATTTATTTATTTTTATTTATTTTTTTTGTCTACATCATGCACAACAAAATTTTGATTGATGCCATATTTTTATCCATAGAACTTTGTTCATATTGGTCTTTGAAAAAATGAATGGATAATTTCAAAATTATACCTATTATTCATTTTCTTTAAACAAATGTAATGAAAACATAATGATTATCGAATAAATCCAATATTTTTAAATTATATATCAAAATAAGACATGTGGTGGCTCTATAAACCCCAACAAACACCCCCCGGTAAAACAGTGGATGGGAGAAAATCCTTCCCCATTAAAATTGAGTAACATCATAAGTGTTTTCATTGTTTTCATTTCTTTTTTTTCATCGTTTTCATTCATTAATTGATGCTATCTAATAAGCATATATGGTTTTCAAAATATATTTGGGTGACATGCATATCAAATCTAGCATGTTCACGGAATTCAGTAACTGTAGCTATCTTTGATTAGTGTGCTGTAGTTGCGATGCATTTCAATTTGATCTAGGCGGCGCAGCTTTCGAAGTCATGGTGAATTGTGGTCAAGCTGATGTATTATGCAATGCTGGGCAGTTGAAGATATAGTATCAAAGGTTAGAATGTATACGTATATATATATATATATATATATATATTAGTAGGTGTGTGTCTATCGATGAGTGTGCTGTTAAATCTGTAAAATATAAATTTTAATTTTGATTTTAAAAAAAATATGTTATGTGCTGCTCAAGTAGCAATGATGTTTCTCATATTGAAGATTTTGGGTCCGAGCCTTTTGCTTGGTCCGTATTTTCTGGTATTTGATATAATGGAAAACGAAAATCGACGAAAAATATTTTTCATAATCAACAAAAAACAAGCTTAGTTGGGCATGAAATGTTTCACTTTCAAAAGGTAGCAAATATTTTTCAGACCAATGTCACCACACTACCACCGCCAGTCTCACCTTCACCACTAGACCGCCATCACCACGGCCACCACCACCACCATATATAGAAAAATGTCTATAGATCTAATATATTACCTTAGTGCTATATATGTTTATATATATCTGATTTGTTGAATAGTTGTTTGTGTATTTGAATAATCAGTAAGCAATAGATAAAATTAATAAACTCGTAATTTATGCATTATTTTAGAAAGCTCTTAGGGGAATAACAAGAGCAGGTGACACACTCCTATCTGATAAAATCACTCATTTTTAGTGCTTAATAGTAGTTGCATGGAGCCTTAAAACTCTTGAGATTCGTAGACTAGGGAGTGATTTTTAGGGAGTGATTTTTTATATTTTGTTTTCCGGCTCTTGGGATTGCAACTTCTATGATTAACTGGTCAATAATAGTGTATAATCAAGGTTTTGAAAAGCGGTTGCGGTCGCTGTAACGGTTGCGGTGACGCGGTTGCAATTGCGGAGTATAAAGGTCGTAGCATAACGGTTGTGGTAACCGGAACCGTGATTTTTTTTTTTTCGCACAATTTAAAGAAAACTTACCGATATGCATATTTTTTTTTTCTAAAATCACATTTATTAGGGTTTAAAATAGATTTTGATCAATTTTTGTTAATTTTTAAGTATGATCCAATATATTTCATATTTTCAAATCACTATAAAAGGAGCTTTTTATATTTTATTTCAATAGTTAATGATTTTAAGAATAATTGATTTTAAATGTCTACAAATTATTTTTGACCAATACTTGAACTAATTGAATAAAAAATATTCACAATTATTAAATGAAATGATTATAAAAATAAAAATAGTGCCACAAACAAAAATTATTATTGAGGCATTTTTTTAGACAACACTTTATAGGTAACGAAATAAAATTATTTACAATTAAGTGTTAAATGAAATGATTAGAAAAATAAAAATTGTGCCATAAACAAAAAATATTTTTGAGTTTTTTAAAGATATTTTTAGACAACACATTACAATAACTATAGCGATCCCGGTTGTCCCTTTACTGTTCTGTTGTATTCCGGACTCGGTTCCGTGAAGGTGGTAGTTGTATCTATCTTGTTGTCGTCCTTTAATTCCACTTGATTGAGTTTTAGGATGTTTTGGGCAGGGTTGTTACAGGTTGGTTAGGCCTTGGTTTCAATTCCTTGTTGCCCAGTTTTTAGGCGGTCCGCTCGAGCGGGTTTTCTTGCGCTCGAGCGGGGATTGCACACCTCCAGTATTTCGTGTCCCTGCAAAACTTCTGCAGGTGTGATTTTTACGCTCGAGCGGGTTTCTTTACGCTCAAGCGGTAGCGCTCGAGCGGGTTTGTTGGCGCTCGAGCGGGTAGCACTTTCTGGGTATAAGTTCTGGGAGGGGGAAATCTACGCTCGAGCAGACTGGTTTTCGCGCTCGAGCAAAAGTGCTTTATTCTTGTGTCTTGGCGCTCGAGCGGGCCTTCTTGCACTCGAGCGTGTCCAGATTTTTGTTCTTGGCGCTCGAGCGTTGTGTTCTCCGCTCGAGCGGGAATGTCGTATATCAGTTGCCAGCTGGGCATTTTAAAATCACTTTTTGCATTCTCTCTCTCTCTCTTACTTTTCCAAAAAGCCATTTGAGAGCTCCTCTCTCTAAAACCATAACTTCTCTCTAAGTATTGATCTAGCTAGGGTGTTTTCCTCACCTTTGGTCTTCACAACAGTTGGGTTGATCGTTGAGGACTTTACCTTGATCCGAAAATTTCGAGTTTTGGAGCACGTTGAGTTTCGTCATCTTCTTCCCTTGAGCTCCGAATTTGAGGTAGGGATTCCTACTCACTATTATGGTCTTCGACATTGATTATTGGTAGTTTTGATAAAGTGTTGAAGTTTGTTGATTTTGGGACTTAGGGTTTCAAAAGGGTATAAACGACGGTTTGATATTTTGATTCTTAAACATGTATTTTGGGTTTCAAAATAATGATGTTGTTGTTTGTTGTTGATATATAGGCCATTGGGTCAATATTGGGAAATGGGGTAGAAAACCCTAATTTGTTGAATAAATTAATTGGTATAATTAATTTGGAGAAAATTGTGGACTTATGGAATTGAGTTGGAAATAATGAAATTGGCTCATTATGTTGTGAAATGATGGAGTTGGATTTATAAATCGCTCACTTTTGGAAACATTGATATTTTATCTGTTGGAGCTTTTATTATCTGTTTAGAAATAATTGCTTGGGCTACCGGTGGAGGGTAGTTTTGATTGTTGTAGACAATGCATGATGATTAGGCAAACTAAAACTAATCAATTGGATATGTCATAGAGTATGACGGTTGATAGAATACATTAACGTTATGTATTGATTGATTGTGTATATGACCTTTGTGTATATACGTTGTGTGTGTGGGAGGAGATTGGGGATGTACTCCACGGTTTAGGGGAAGATAGGGGATGGACCTCTAAATCGGATGTTGTTTGGGAAGAGATAGGGGATGGACTCCACTGATACAGCTCATATGCTTGTCAGATAATGTGTTGATATAGCTCGTATGCTTATCTTTGGAAGTGTTGATACAACTCATATGCTTATCATTGGAAGTGTTGATATTGCTAATATGCATATCTGTTGAAATGTGGATACAGCTTGCATGCTTATCTGTTGAGATGTGATACAACTAGTATGTTTATCTATTGTAAAATGGGAAATGTTTAATATGAGTCACTATCTCATATAAGTGGTTGGCCAAGTTCTGAGCCGTTAATGTAAATTGTGAAACTGATAAGAAATGGAAACGGGTTATGAATTGGTTTATGGAAATTGAACATTTATCAATTGCTAATGTCTTAGTCATTGCTCATACTGTGTTTAACATATCCCTACTGGGCGTTGGCTCACCTTTTATGGGACATTATTTTCAGGTACAGGTAGTATGCCACCTCCAAGGACATAGCTTGGGTGGGGATGAGAGTTGAAGACTCTTTTTTGTTTATTTCGATGTATTACTTGTAAATTCAAGCCAAGGGCTTAATATGTATTGAGTTAGCACTCTTTTTTTTTGTAATCAAGTGTTAACTTGGAAAGCTGTAAGCTCATAGGGCATTTGCTTTTGTTGTTAACATGTAATACAGTTGTAAGAATTACTTTGATGAATAGAAATGGTTGGTTTCCTTTATATCAATGCATGTCTAAAGTAATGGGTTTTATGTATTATTTTGAGGGCGTTACAATAACAATATAAAAAATATTATTAATTAAATATTCAATAAAATGATTGTAAAAATAAATACAACTACTATTTATATATATATATTTATTTATTTATTTTACACGCTAATGTAATGAAATAATAATTTAAAAAAAATTACAAAGAAAACAAATTTATATAAGATTTTTTCTTTGAGCTTGAATAACTTGAGTATTTGTTCTTTTTTTTTGTAAGCTTTTATTTTATTTTATTTTTTGGGAAAGGAAGTTATTCAAAATTTTATAAAAGGGAGTAATGGTTTGTAACGGACCGTTATGGCCGTTACGGTACCGTTGTGGCCGTTACGTAACACCGAAACGGTCGTTACACATGTGAATTTCCGTTACACCGTTATAGTGGCCGTAATGGGTGGAGGTAACCACCACAACCATTACGTAACGGTTGCGACCGCTTTTTAAAACCTTGTGTATAGTAGTATGCATTTGTCTTTGGAAGCTCTAAAATTGAACCGAGGTGATAATAGTGTTGCATGATTCTTTCTACCATTGTTTTGATGTAGATAAATTTACCCCTCTCTCTCTCTCTCTTTCTCTCTCTCTCTGTGGTGGCCAGGTAAGAATGGAATAGTCAATTTTATTTTAGATAAAATTGATATGCGGATTGATAGAGACAAAACAAAAAGCTTGTTAGAGATGTTTTAGGATTTTTTTTGTTTTTGTCAATGAAGGTCTCTAATTAGCAATTAGCCAAAGCTAAATGTGAAAGTGAAAGATTTCTTCGGTGATGATCTGTTGTTTGAACAGATAAAAAAAGAACAAATAGAAAATTTCAACAAATAAAAAATTTGAACAGATAAGAATTTTAATAGATAAAAATAATTTCAACTCTTTTAACAGATAGTCAATGAAAAGTCAAACAAATAAAAAAAGGCAAAGGGTAAAATTTAAAACAAAATGTTCTCCACCAAATGATTACACAAAGTGTGGACCTCTCATCAACAAAAAAATATCTCTTAGATATAATGCTTTATACCCTCCGTATATTGGATTTATCAGCAATTAATCCCTTTTATTTTTTTATTTTTTGAGACAGTCCACCTAAATGGATAATGTTTATTAGTAGGAAAATTACATGGTGTGTCATACGCAACTCTAATTATGACATTTGTGTTATTTGATTATGACCTATTGTTGGATTAATTATGACTTATCATTGTAAATTGATTTTTTTTTATTTATTTTTTATTTTTTATAGATATGACTCATTGTAATTTGAAAGGCAACTTCAACAGTGTATTATATATTTTAAGGTTTATTACACTTTTCACTCTTGTAATTTGATTTAAATTTTATTTTAATCTGTACAATTTTAATTTAAGTAATTTAGTTCTTCCATTTTAAGTCTAGTTATAATTTGGTACTTTCGTCTAAATTGAAGATTAAAATTATCAATTTCGGAACAATTGTAAATTTTTTAAGGTTTCAATTTGGTTCTTCCGTTTAAATTGGATGTTAAAATTAATAATTTTGGAACATTTATCAAATTTCTAAGTTATACACGTAGACAAAATGATCAAGAATTTAGATGGAATAACCAAATTAAAACTAGACTTAAAATGTAGAGATCAAATTATTCAAAT